GTTGACACTTTTTAAAACTACTTGTATTCTCAGGAAATCAGTGAAACAGGAAAACTTCATCGCTTTGAGGATGGGACGCTAAACCGTCAACAACTTATTTTGTCATCATAATGTAATTGCTTTTGAAACACATAAACCTATACTTTGATGTAACTTTTGCAATTATATTTATGGTGGTTGTTTTTACTTTGAGCACTATTATACACGTTGTTGTGATACTGTACATGAAGTCCTCCACCCCCAGACGTTTCCGCCATCCTTGGTTTGGGGGTGTGACATATGACACTTAGATTTTAAAGGTGTATGTGTTCCTATCCATGTGAATTTGCCAAAACCAAAGTTTACGACAAATTCAAAGTCATATGGACCGAACTTTCTTAATCTTGATTTCTTGCCTTATGGTAGCACGGCTGCCCACCATGTCTTCCAAGTAGTCAAGAAGCTCACCTTTCACTATCAATGTACTTTTCCTTGATCAAGGTCCTTGCCTTTTATGCATTCAAATGAGAACTCATATGGCTCACATGCATAATTAACTAAATTGGAACGGCACATAAATAATATAGTGTCAACACAATAGGTTGTAAACCTCAACTTGTGTGCTAGTGATGATCGATAAGGTTTATTTTTGATTTGTTCTTCAAACCTTTCAAGACCATTAATACTCCCACTGACTCCTTGGCATATAAGATTCTCTTGTCAATAAACATATCTTGACAAACAAATATTCAAGAGTTAGTGTAGTTTTTATCAAAACACTTCATAAATAGGTCCTAGTTGGTCTTTGTCTTATCCAAAACATCACAACTTTCCTCATTTGATGAATGTGATAAACCTTCTTAATAATTATCACTCAATGTCACAATCTTAACTCTAAGACTTGTTTTGGAACGAAGTATGATTGACTTCTTGATTTAACCATTTCTTCAATTCTTGATTCCTATTCTTAGACATACAATTGTACTAAGACTTACTTAGAGGATCAATTGAGATATGGTTATTAATCATTAAGACTTATAATAAAACATAATAAAAGGTACTCTCCATTCTTCTTAGAATAGAGAAACTTTTATCTTTCTGCCTACTTGATTCTTCTTATTCGTTCTACTTATTGATTTAAACTTTTACAATCAATTCAGAATTACACTTAATCTTATAAGTATAATCATATGTACTAAACTTTTAGTAAATCATGACGAATATCTTTGTTACTTTTGTGGTGGACTTGATCAACACATAACCTTGTGTACTCGATCTCCTAGTCCTTCACTTGACACTTTGTCAACGAATTAGTCTAATTTCCAAATGTGAAAGTTTATTCATTCATCATACAATTCTTGTTGTACGATTCCAATAGAAACTTGGGCGATGAGAAACTTTCCTTATTTGGTAAATTCTCGACATTTCCACAAACAACATAATTAAGAATCACATCCATTTGTTGTAAATATACGAACATCAATTTTTTTTCATAACGATTTCATTGCAAGGAAATAAATAAATAAACACGTCAAACAAAATTTATTTTATTTATAAAAGCAACGGAAAACATTTGTCCTTACAATGCAAAATCAACTGAAAAACTATGTAATAAATATTCCTAACAACTCTATCTAAGCTCAAAATCTAGTCTTCAAATCCATGAAATCGTGATTAGATTCATCTTGCTATTTCATCAAGCTTCCTCTCTTTTCATCGATCCTGCAAAACATTCAAATGCAATCTTATCACATTATGTATTAAGAATCAACGAATAGGAACTTAATCGAGTTAGATAGTGGATTTTACCTGAAGCACATTCATACTCTTTGACTCTCCCATCTTCTGGACTCTTCAGGCTCTTAGGGAAGACTTGTATCCAACGCCCTTTCTCTTGGCAGCAAACGGAGGTCGGTTCTCCTAGAACGTCCTCGAAAGCATGGTTGGTTGACTTTTCCAACAAATACGCTCCATTGCTTTGCCAAATCATTTCTGATTCAGCAGCAGTGAGCATGTAAGTTAGGTCAATGAGGCTTTCGTCATGATCCATCATATAATACTTTCTTTTGAACTCATTATATGATTCAGGAAGTGACTGTAGAACCCAGTTCACAGCCAACTCATCCGGGAATGACACACCCAACATTTTCAACCTATCAATGTGTGATTTCATTCCTAGAACGTGAGCACACACGGGTTTACCATCTTCATGTTTCATTTCCAATAGGGCTTTAGTGATATTGAACCTTTCAATTCTTTGATCTTGTAGGTTAGGGAGAACAACGGGAGGGGGAGGAGGAAGTGAAGCATGATTTCTTGTTCCTCGATCAAATTGTGGAATATCATCTTCATGTGGAATGCTTGTTCCACGAGACTTGGGAAGACCATAGTTTTCGAACTTTGACATCTACAAAACAGGAGAAAACAAATTCAAGTTAGTTGATAGATTGAGTCCTTAATAAATCACCCAAACGAGATATTAAGGCTAGGAACCAACACAGTATGCTACAACCTAGAAAAGGGATGTCGTAATCTAGTTGCAGAATATTTGAAGGTAAGTGAATGACGATTCACTAATTTCCACCATGAAAAACGAAAAAGAAATTTAAGTTTTAAATCTATGAAAACTCCTAGATCCTTTGAGATTCATTGAACATTTCAATGGCATGTTTAAATCTCGATATGCCCCTCTTGTTTGTGACTTGGATGCCGAGGATCACAAAGCGGGTGTGAATAACCATGCAACCTTACATGGTGCCCTCACATGTTACGATCACCTATTCGATGTGCCGGTAAACCACACACGCTCCACCGAACTATGACAAACATTGAGTCACCCTCTGCTACCTTTGCTTAGATCCATTTAGTGTGGCGGTAAACCACACACACTCCAATAACGTCTTCGCAAGGGCACAAAGTGTAATTTCATGGAATTGCGTCAATTCACTTTTTTCTAAGTAACTAATATATTGGGAATTTGTAAAACATTTAGTTACTTTTGTACTTCATTATACTTATAATGGAAGGTTTTGTCCTATCCTACCCATTCGGCTAACGACCCTCCACTAGTCAAGAGTGCGGTGGGTAAGAGTGGATACCCATTTAATCACCATTTTATAGGCAATTTCCTTAAACACCCCTTATAGACCAGCTTCGTGAATGAGGCCTACTAACCGTAAGACTGACTTTTACTCATACATATATATATATAATGTTAGACTTTTAATGTTATATATAGTATAGGGTGTATTTTACACTTTTAAAATACTATGTGGTCAAATTTAACAATTATACTTTTAATTCAATTAAATTGTAAACCAAAACTATTATGGATTTATTAAACCTCTTTTAATTATACACCTTAATTAATTAATAAAACCATAAGGGCATGATTTGAACTTTTCAAAACAATACTAGGGTTTAAGAATTTAACATTTCTAAATTAACTTTTAATCAACATTTAAATTCAAAAACTTGAGGACAAGTTTTGAAACATTTCAAAACATTAGGGTTTATAATTTAAATATACATCAAAATTAAACTTTTTAATCAAAATTTGAATTCCAAAACTTGAGGGCAAGTTTTGAAACTATTCAAAACATTTGGGTTTTAACTATTTAAATTTCAAAAACAAAACTTTTAAGTTCAAATTTAAATTATAAAACCTAAAGAGAAAATTTTATACTTTTCGTAACACAAGGATCAAATAACAAATAATATAAATTAAACAATTAATTTAATCATTATCTATATTTGACCTAATTTCAATTTCTTGCAAAATAAGTTACCCAATTAATACAAATAACTCAATCTTTATCATATAAGGAAGGAATTATCTAATCAATTGGTAATTATCTTGTGTTTTGGCAAGGATATTCATTAAGAAACAATAAAATTCGTATTTTATAGGTTTAAAACGAATATGGTAATAATTCTTAAGCAAAACAGCAATAAAATCCGAAAATCCCTCTGTCTGACGCTCCGACTCGCCGAGTCACACTCTGGAACTCGCCGAGTAGGGCTGACACGCCGAGTCCAGGTAGTCACTCGCCGAGTCAGGACGAACAGAAGGCCAGAAAATTATTTTCAGCAACATATAGCATCAATACAATAGAAACCAATCTAGGCTCTGATACCACTGATGGGTTTTGGTCATAAGAACATCCTATGTGCTCATACAAACCCTAATGCTTGGACCTAGGTTTCTCTATTGTACATGCAAATTTATCCAAGACTATAAACCCTAAATCTAGCATATGATAATCGATATTAACATAATAATGGGTTTAATATATTACCTTGATTGTTATGTAGCAATAACAATCTCAATTCCTTCTTGTAATGACTTTAAAAATCTTAGAGTCACAAATGTCACTCCTCTAATGGTTCACAAACACCAAGAGCAAGAGGATGAAGAGGGGAAAAGAAGGAGGCTGCCCAAAATCGTCCAAAACCTTAGAAGGAAGCTTTTCCACGTTTTTGGGGCTTAAGGGTAATATATATAGAGAGGCTATTAGGGTTATCTAACAAGGAACCCATGGACTCCTTTAATTAAAGGCCTTGGACGATTTCTTATGGGTTTCCCCATAGAATTCATCTAACCTTATATAATAAGGTAATCCATAGCCCAATTGCAATTATCTTATAATTACAATTCCATTCCCTTAAGTTTAATTAATCTCTTTAGTCACAAACTTAATTCTTATTACTTCTTGACTAATATTAATTAAACAATATGATTTCTCCTTTAATATATTATTCCCATAATATATTAATAAATCATATTTAATCCTTTCTCTCCATAATTCATCCTATCAAGTTGCTTTGGTGAAGGCAACCCAAAAGGACCATGCACCATCGGGTCAAGTACATACCAAAATAGTTATGGACTTAGACACTAATCCAACATCACTATCAGTGAACTTGATTGTTGTAGTGGTTGTGACCTCATCAAAAGTCAAAAATTCCATACGATACAGATATCCATCATGGAAATTATGAGGAATAAGAATTTCTTTCAACTATTTAGTTGCAGGCCACAGCACTAACTTCATTGGCTCATTGGTTCTGCGATCAAGCACCTCCTTGTCTCTTCTAATTAGCGATTCCACATTTTTCATTCCAGAAAATTTTTCTTTGAACTGCCTTTTCAAGAAGACTTTGAAATTAAAGGCCTTTGGGTCCTTTGAAGGAATGTGGAATGGAACTTTTGAAAGCTCAGTTAGATCGACTTTTTTCCAGGAGCTAAAGTCGTGAGTATCCTTGTAGTACTCTGTTTGTCCATGATTCCTCTTCACCAACCACAAATTTGAGTCACTGTGAAATCCCCACATCCTAATTCCCGATCAGTTTCCGAATTTGTCTCCGAACCTTCGCTTTTCAAGATCAGTTACTATAATTTGGGGCTGGTCAACATGACGGTTCTCATCAGAGTTCTACATGAAAAGCCATCCTTCTTTCTTCTCAGCAGTAACGTTTCTCTTAGATTTCCTGATGATTATTCAAGGGTTGGCATGGGTAGGTTCGGCTTCAAAACGATCAATAACTATTGTGGTTCTGAGGGGTAGTGACAAGATGTTGTCATGTTAAGAAGTTTGGACGACGGTACTGGAAGGACCCTCGGTGGCGAAAGATTCAACTTTTGTTGATTTGAACTTATCTCTAAACTCATATGCTAATTTGTTCTTCAAATCATAATAGCACGCTATCAGTGCTCCAAGGTTAGTCTGAAGATCAGATATTTTCTTTGACTTCGAATCAACTTCCTTTTCAAGATTAGAAACTTGAATATCGAGCTTTCCTATCAAAATATCTTTCTCAATAACTGTCTGTTATAAAACTCCGACATCTTCCTTGAGCTTTTGGACAACAGGGTCCACTTCCCCTTGGTTGCCTTCCTCAATTGATATTCCCTTACTGCGAGGAGGAAGGCCTGTTGATTCTTGTCCAGCTAAGACCTTTGTAAGCCTCTCAAAGGCGATGTCGTGCACAGTTCTTGGTGGGGAGGAACTTTCAGGAGCTGAAGTGCTCCCGAATTCAAAAATGGTGTTGGGTCCTTCCTGAATAGGTACTGTTGGAATAGCAGCTGGTGTTGCGGTTAGAGGTTGTGTCAACGGGTCCTGCTCCTGAATAAGGACTCCCGGCCTTGGATCAAGTCTTCTCCTTTTTAGCGTAGGCTGGGAGGTTTAAGTGACAAAAGGATCACTCATAGATGGCATAGTGGTGGGAATAGCAACATTAAGGGGAGGAATCCTATATGTTGCATCTGTATCAATAAAAGTACTAGACATCTGTTCTATAGAAAGAGGCGTTACTTCTTGAATGTCTTCAACTCCCCCTATCTCCATTGCACGATGAGCGACATCATTGATATTGTTAAAGAAGGAGTCAAGGTCTTCATTTGTCGAGCAGTACTCATTTTCAAACTCAAAACTGAAATCTTCATTTAAACCCGACACATCACCACCAAAAAGATCATCATTATTACCAAAAATCTCATCATCATCAAACTCATTATCATCATCATTGCCTGCATCTTCATCCTTACTGTAATCACTTTGAACTTCCACAGATGTCAAAAGATCATGTTCCTCTGCCAAGATTGCGATAGGAGGAACTCTTTCTTCTTCATGATCAGAAACAGTAATCACATCTTTTTCTGTTTCCATATGGTCAGACGAACTTTCAGATGCTGATGCATCAGCAACTTCAGCAAAATTTCCAAATTTCACCACCGGATATTTTCCCTGAAACATAAATTTCCCTTTACGATTTTGCTTCATAAGCCCAAACGTGTTGGATCCAAGGGATTTGGCATCAAGTGTATCTCCATTCCTTTCGATGTCTGAGTGCTTGACATTTAAGATTGGTTGTAGAAACCTAGGGTACATCAGAAAATTTTCCTTTTTCTTCCCTTCAACATTTCCTACCATTTCATGCATAATGAATTTGGAGAAATTGAATTCCAAACTCATGACCAGGGCTGCGATTGCACCAGTGTTAAGCAGGGAAATTTCATCTCCCCAGCTCGCTGACCAGAAATACAACTCACGAACACGTGAGCTAAAAATATCCAGTATGGTGGCAGAAGCTTTTTGATAGTAGGCAGAAAGACCCCTTCACACCCCATCTGTTTGATGATACTTTCTGTTTGATCCATTGAAATCTCCATCCCAAAGCTTGGCTGGTCATTGATTTGTAAAACCTCGTGAATGATTTGTTATGTCACCAAAATCTTCTTCCCTTTGATAGTCGCCTTTAAGGACATAGAATCATCTTCACCCATTTGTTAGCAGCAGTGCTCCAAAAATTCTTGATTAAGCTTTGGTAAATGATAGGGCTGGAAGTGAGGGCATTAACTAGACAACACTTCTTCAATCCAAGAACCGTGGACTTGAATTCAGTATGAGTTGCAGGTGGATCAACTAGGAAAATAACCAAGTTGTGTCATCAGCAAACTTCAAGTTAGCCATTTTGACCTGCAACAACCAAGCCAAGTGAGAAAAACACATCTGTTAATCAATAAACACCAAGTTTTCTCATTAATCATGCAATTAGGCTTTTACATTTGAATAAAAGTTAATAAAAATTTAATTTTAAGACAAAATGGGGTTTACGGTCGTCAATGGGTTTACGGTCGTGAATGGGTTCACGGCCGTGAACCCTTCAAAGGCTGTGAACGCATCACAGTGCCGAAAATCCATTTTTTCCAATAAACCCATTAAACAAGGTCAATTTCTAGTATAGTTAGCATAAATGAGATCGCCTTGATGATACCTACACGAATCAATGAGTAATTTTTTATGTAAAACACAAATGAGGACGAATCGATGAACAGTGGTGAGAGGATTTGAGATGTTCACGACCGCAAATAGAGAACAGTGGTAAAAAATGTTCTTTAGCCGAGAACATGGGTATATATACCCGGATCCAAACCCGATCCACCACCCATGGACTACAACCCATAAAGCTTTAAATCCAAGCCCAATACATCAATTATTTCAAAAATAAAACATTTGAAGACATAAAAATTAAAATAAAATAAAATAAAAACTAAACTAAAAATTTAAACTAATAATAATTTTATATTTAATTTTTAGCAAAATAAAAATAAAAAATAAAATAAAATTGAAACTAAAATGAATTAACACTAATTTCTCCTTTTCCATGCTAATATTAATTTTGTGATTTTGGGATCAAAGTTATTAGACAGCCTTAATCTATTTATCGGTACCTTTTCCTTTATGAATAGACATGGTCAATCGTCGGTATCAAGGTCCACTTAAGCACGAAAGACTGTGATAAATTTAGGACATATAACAAATGACAAGACATTTAACCCTATGTTCCTAGACAGTATTCCTAAGGGACCATTCAGCTGACGACCGCCTGGGATATTGTTGTCCACCTAAATTAAGCAGTAAGATCTATAGTCAGCCTATTTGATTGTTCAAATTTAGTTGTACTAGAACATGTTTCCCATTTCCGTGATAGTGGGTGGAATCGTATGAGTTTGTGGAAAAGTGAATGCTTAAGTTTGAGGAACAGCGAAAGATGAAAAAGCATTGTTAGATGAAATTCCCAGATTTGCAGTGGAGTAGGAATTCGCATGGTTGATCTCACTCTACTTATCATCTAAATCAAAAGCTTTGATGATAGCCATGGTTTTGCAAGAGTAAGTTGGTTAAGATCCTTGGTCTTTTTAATCACAGACACATTCATGTCCCATGATTTGGGAGGAGAGTTCAAAAGTTTCTTGTTTATCTCCAATCGTGGTGCAGAAATTCTAGCAATGCTCATCTCAGTGGTAAGAGTGATGAATCTCTGCAATTGGGCTTCAAGAGTCTCTCCCAGAACATGATTGAACATGTTGAATTTTTTACGGAGCATATCCTGTCAGCTTTGTTTCATGTCATCATTCCCTTCGTAGACCTCTATCAATGCTTCCCAAAGTGCTTTTGTTGAATCATACTCCCTGAATCCTTGTGCAATGTCAGGGGATAGAGCCATAGTCAGAGTTTCCAGTGCATTTTCCTGTTCTTCAATTTTCTCAAAATCCTCATCAGTGTAGTTTTCCATTGCTTTGTCAGTGATAATTCCATCTTCCAGGGTAGTTGTTATTCTATCAAGGCCCTTAAGTATGCTTCTCCATATTTTGAAATATTTCATTTTGATGTACTTCTCAATCCTATATTTCCACTTTGGAAACCCTTCTGCTCATAGGAGATGCAGAATTCTCGTTGTGGTTCCAATGATCGAATCCAATTCTTGATGCAATGCACTGTGTTGAGGTTCCATTATTTTAATATATATATATATATATATATATATATATATATATATATATATATATATATATACACTTTTAATTAAGTAATTAGAAATAAAACAGATCACACTCGCAAAAAGGATTACAGAAGAAACTGGATTTCGGCCGAAAAGTAAATACAAGCGAAAATGGATTTTTGGTTGAACACTTAATACAGCCAATAACTTATCAAGAACGCTCCCCCGAAAACTAAGTATCCTGCCAATAGAAAACTCTAAATTTAATGAATTCAAGCTGATCTTTCATATCTTTTTCTGAATATTCGAAGAACACCAAGAGCAATGAGCAATTTCGAACAATAAACCCAAAATCATTTCGATCCAAGGATTAAGTCAAGCAAAAATGAGCTAATTCAATCTTCTTCAACACGGTTTGACAATATTATGGCTCGATACCAATTGTAAGTCCCCGAATAAGGAACTTATCTAGTGATCAAACAATATCAATGTATCAAATCAGAATGAATCAAGAAGAAGAAGAAGCAATATCGATCAAAATGCACACAATTTTGTATTAATCAAAATCGCTAGGTAGAAATGATCTCACACACACTAATGACCGAAAATAACTCTCCTGAATCTATCAATCTAGGACACTATTTATAGGTCACACAAAGAACAACAAGTTTACAACCGAAAGCAACCTAGGGACCGAAAACGAAATGTTTTCGGTCCAACCAACCGAAAACCCACAAACAACCCATACAATGAGTAATAAAGTCTATAAAACATATATGCCTAGCACAAAGCAACAAAATAGTTCTAACAACTACTACGCTCCGCTTTAATCTCAAATACTACCCATCTATGAGACTATCCAATTATTCAAATTACTTCGATCTAAAATTTACTTTATAAGCTCTAATTTAAAATAAAACAAGACTATAATAAAGGAAAATCAATTTCAAATAAAGTTTCCTAATCACACGATACTATTATAACTTCGTAAATAAAATCAGCACAAAAATACAAATAATAAACAATTAATATAATATAACCATTCGAG